GCAACTGTGTGATGCCATCATGTCAGTATGGACCAAACTCCCTGAGGAATGCTTCCAGCACCTTGTTGAATCTATGCCACGAGAATTGAGGCAGTTCTGACGGCAAAAGGGGTCCAACCCGTTACTAGCATGGGGTACCTAATAAAGTGGCCGGTGAGTGTATATACATATACATATACATTTTTTTTTCCACCAGCAGGGGGCGGTAATTCTCCTTCTCTTTGACGTCCAGCCGATAAAGACGAAGCTCGACGCAGCCAGGACGCAGTCTCTTCCAGCATCATCATCTCCACCCTCCATCATCTTCCTTTGGGAATAAGCTTTCAAAAAGCTGGAGTCTTTCTTCGCTTTAACACTCAGTTATAACTTCTGACATCAAGTAAGTTTTTACTTCCACATTCTTGAGGAATTGAATACCGTAGGTCTAAAAGTAGTAAACGTTAAAGCTCTACGGTCGCCTTGTTGCCGTTGCAGTCCTGTTATTGTGACAGTAGGCCCGCAGCCGCAGCTGCCATGGAGATTAGCACGTTAGCATAGCTAGCTGTCCCGGTTTGAAGACGTAGCCGCTACTTATTCCACTTCCTCTGATTAAAAATAATCAAATTCAGCGAGTTCTCGCGAAAAGATAAAATAAGATGTTAACAGCTGCTGTTTTTATGAGTTGTCTGCAGTCATTTGGGGCTGGGTTGGGTGGAGTTTAGCATCTCGGCTATTATACACTTATACCAGCAGTGTTATAATATCATCATTTATGTCAGCAAATTTTTAGACAACAAAATTTTATATAAATTTTATCCCATTTTCTTCAGTAAACGTGGCTGTATTTATTTTCTAGAAATAAAACGCCCCGATCAATTTGTTGTGTTTATAAATCAAATAAAGAGAACATTGTTTCCAACAGCAAGCAGCTTTTTCACATGTTACCAGTGTGACAAGCCCAAGGCTGCAGTGATTCTGCACAAATACAAAGCAAACTGGATATTCTGTGTTGTCATATATTGTTGCCTCTTTTTATTCATTCAGTTTTATAATTCACTGATTGATCCTGAAGAAAAACAGTTTCAACAGAAAAGTCTAAACTAGTTTGAACCAGATTTAGAATTTCTTCTAATAGAATTATACTACATGCACTCCAAATATTTGTATTTATTTATACTACAAATATAAGTGATTACATTTTAAGGGTCATTTTAACTGATAACACATCATTATAATAAATTTAATATAATATGCAGCTGTGTTTTTGTAGTATATCTATAAAAAAAAACATGTCTGGACTTTTAATAGATAGTGAATAGGCATCGGTTGGTATAAAGTACTGCCGTGCATTTTTGTATTATGTTGTAAAAGTTATGTACTATTATGCAAAAAGTTACAATAAAATGTATTACCTTACTGCTTTTATTTAAGGGTATAAAGAATAAGAGCTATCTCTATTGAGGTCAATACATCATAACCTGTATAGAATGATTACTGCACTTTGAAAATTAAGGTATAAAGGCCTTTAACTTTTAAAATCCACCTCATTTTGGGTAATCCTGGCCTATTTTGCATACCGAAATGGCAAAGCAAATAACTTAGGAACTGTAAGTCCAAATTATCAACCTATAAATTGATTTTTTTTTGTTTTCTTTGAGCTCTCATAACAGGTCTGAATATCATATTGGATATTTAGATTTTTTTGTCTATGAATCATCAATCAAAGCAATTTGTGAGAACTTTGGTTTAATTTAGATATTTAATGCATCATCTTTTACCACTGATTGTAAAAGAAGAGAAGATGCTACAGGTTCCTTGACAGAGGAAATCGGTTTGCATCTAATAGAAATTTGGGTAGTTAAAAGACTATGTATGTGCCCCCTGGTTTAATGTGTTTTTAGTCTTGGCACTAACAGGGTCTGGTGTTTCTCAATGAAAGATTTGTGTGCATCAATGTAAAAAAAAAATCATATTTTTTTTAGGTTACATACAAATCAGTGGTCAGAGGTATTTAATTTAGCAGTGTGTCTCTAACAACACAATTTATTAAATCATTTTTTCCTGTTTTCAGTTTGGTTGGTGCTTCTTTAACAATAGTATTTTTCTGTTTTACAGCATGTCTGACAAAAGTGAGCTGAAGGCTGAGCTGGAGAGGAAGAAGCAACGGATTGCCCAGATCCGGGAGGAAAAGAAGAGAAAAGAAGAAGAGAAAAAAAAGAAGGATGTGAGCAACACTGATGTCATGCTCATCGGTTTGCGGCGATGTTGTGAATTGCTGTTATGTCGACGGTAAACCTGTTTGCTGTCCTGCAGGGAGAATCCAAACGTGGCGCTGAGGGAGGACCGGTCGGCAGTGAGGACTCCGATCTGGAGAGGAAGAGGAGAGAAGCCGAGGCTCTTCTTCAGAGCGTTGGCATCACCCCTGATGTCCCTCATGGTAAATGTACAGTGTCGTCACCCTTTTATTTATTTTTTTCCCTAACCTTTCATTTAACAGCCCCTCATGTTCTGTTCATTTGCTTGTTGACTTTACAGTGTTAAAAAATAAATAAATAAATAAATGTCTGTCTTAACTTTTTTGGCTTAGCTTTGTTTCACTCTCATTGCTCCCGATGTGCACACACACACACGCACACCAATAACTGCACATGTTACATGTTTGGTGCATGACTCCTTAAAACCTGCCTGCCATTTATTTTCATTCTCTCTTCTCTTCCCTCTGTCTGTCCTCTTCTGTTTGTCCTCCTTGCTGCATGAAAACTCATCCACTCACCCGTCCACACGCATCCCCTGTCTACTCAAACACTCACTCTCTGTGCTCCCTCACTCACCCATCCATCGGTCACGTACTGCGAAAACGCACACGTGTTCACAGCTCAGCCCCTGAGGGTAGTAACAGAGGATACGTGTCTGTTTCACTACCTAGTCCCTGCCCCAATGTCTCCCTCCAACAAATCAGTGGGCAGCGATGCTGGAAGCCAAGATTCTGGGGACGGAAACGCAGGACCAAGGTCTGTGTGGGAGTTTGTTTGTTTCAGACATAGAGGTTGAAGTTGGTTGTTTCTTTATTGTTGTTTTTACAATTACCTGCATGCAGTCTGTGTGTGTTTGAACTATTTAATTATACATGAATAAATTCTGACATTTCTCTATGTCTTCTCACCACCATACTAATGTTGGATGACATTTCATTTTTTTTGTTTCCTGGTCTATCTTGCCGTGTTTTTCCCATCTTTAACATCTTCTATGTGGCTCACGTTTTGGCCCTTACAACTTTGTTTGCGTTTCTCTTGTTTATTCTGTCCTGAATTTCTCTTTACTAACACCGTCTGGTGATTTGGCTGTATAAGGACTTTGCATTGGGATCCTGACCCCTCCACTCTGCAACTCCACTCCGACTCTGAGCTGATGGGGTACTGCTCCTCCTCTTTCCTTTAGCTCGTCTTCCAACTATTTGTGCTTTCATCTTAGATTTGTCCAAAGGTTTTAGCTTTTTGCATCAGATTTGTCTGTGCACCATTATTTATGTCCACTCTAAAACAAAAGATTCCAAATGTAATATTTAAAATAATTCCTATTTTTAATCTAATATCCAGATTTTTTTATTTTTCCAAATCATGTAGACGTGGAGCGGTAAGACTTGGGATGTCCAAACTGATCCAGGTGGATATCGTCCCAAAAGAAATGGTGTCCTACTCCAAAGAAACACAGACACCCACAGAGGCGATGGCTCACGGTGATCAAAAAGCAGGTAAACCTTCACTGATGTGATTGTTTTTTTTTGTTGTTGTTGTTGTTTTTTTTGTCTAGTTGAATCATATAGATTTATTTCTTTGTTTAGATGAAGAAGAGGATGAGGAGATAAGCCCTCCTCCAATGACAGAGGATACCCAGGATGACAAAAAAGAGCAGGATGAACATCAGGAAGAGGGTAAGGACAGAGGAGCAAATCTTCGCTTCTTGTAAACCAACCAATCAGCACACAGCTCATCTAAATATTCATGAGCTCCATAAAAGGACGAAAACTTGTTTCATTCTAGGGCTTCTAACCAGGCTTGCATTAGGGCTCATAGAACAGCAAATACGCCAATTTTCAGCCCAACCAATGTTACACACCCTATTCAGAGAGCTTAAAGACCAGCACTAAATAACCTATAAAACTGTTCTATGACCCCTTTAAATGTTTATTAAATTACAGTCAAAAAATAAAATTCACTTGTTAATATTTAACAAATAATACTTTTTGACATTCATTTAGACTCTTAACCTTAAAGGCTTGAAAGATTGTTGTTTACCTTCCAGTTCACGTTACAAGTAACCCTGTCACTAAGTGACAAAGACTCTGCAATGTTTGCTGTCAATGAAGGATTTTAAAATGCATGCACACTGCAGAAATATTAGAAGATCAAAACAAAGAGTGTTTTCCTCAACATAGTGGGACATGTCTGTCCTTTGTTTAGGCTGTTAGACGGTAAGGGAGCAATTTCTAAATGAGGTTCAGCAGAAAGTTTTTTTTTAAATTAATTTAAGCTTTTGGCTTGTAGAAGACTAAACAGCTGGTTTTTTAATCAGTTTCTAAAGAAGGGAATGGAGGCGTCAAAGTTGTACATAAAACAACAATTTAGGAATCACTGACAAATTTCGGATCTTTTGTTTCCAATTTTAACTTTCTTGGTGTTAAATTTAAACATAAATATTCACTGTTTCTCTTTCATTCCCTGCTCTATGAACCATTCTTAACTAATCTATTAGAGCACAATTAGAAAGAGTTCTCCTTGTGTTTTCCTGCCTGTAATATATCATTATCTTTCTGTAGACACTCCCAAGGAGCTGACAGAAGAAGAGAAGCTGCAGGTCCTTCATTCGGACGAATTCTTGTCGTTTTTTGAGCGCGGCAGCAGAATCGTTGAGCGAGCTCTGGCTGAGCATGTCGATGTCTGCTTCGACTACAGCGGGAGGGATCTGGAGGATAAAGAAGGGTAAGACGTGCTTTAAAAAGAAAACCTCACTGACATCAAATGGTAAATCCTGAACCGTTTTTTTTTTTCTGCCCTTCTCAGTGAATTGCAGGCTGGAGCAAAACTTGTTTTGATCAGACAGTTTGCAGATGAGCGCTGGACTAAAAACCGCGTTGTCACTTGCCTGGACTGGTCTCCTCAGGTGATTTCCATCCCTTCCTGCCCTTGAATTTCCGTTTTTAATAGAAAAAAAGAATCGGTTAAAATTTGTTTATGCGTATGTTAGGGCTGGACGATATAGAAAAAAAGCTTATCGATAAAAAAAATGCATATTGATCGATATCGATAATTATTGAAAAGATTTGAAACCATATTTTATGTGCAGCTCTGCCTGGACTTTTTATGATTTTGCTAAATGATTTAATTTTAATAAAAAACACAAACACAGACTTCGAATTAAATCTTTATTTAACCAACTTTTTTAACCATAACAGAATTGTTTTAAAGAAAAATAACTTAAGAGACCTGGGTTATGTTATTAAATACTGACAAAGAATAAACTAAAGTGACCAGAAAAGTGACCAAAATAAATATAACAAATAAATGGACCGAAATACTGCCAAACTGGCGAACTACAAAAACCCTTCTTTGGAACAATTTCCTCCGCCTCTCCTTGCTGCGACATCTTCATGTGCTCTGTGTTGTGGTTTGAGAGGGCGGCGCTTGGTGACGGCGTGCCTGTGTCCACGATTGTGATTGGTTGGGAGGAAGCAGTGACTAGCATAAACCTACATGCTAGGCTACAATGAGAAGGAAGGAAAACTGCGTTTCTTTATCGAACTTTTATCGACCCTCTTTTTTTCTATTGCGCCACACGTCTATCGATCGATATATATCGTTATTGAATTATCGCCCAGCCCTAGCGTATGTGATGATATCACAAGAGGCAGGATTAAAAAGAAAACAGCTAGACCAAAACTTAAAAGATGCACTGAAAGTTAAATTCGATAAGAATATTTAAGAAAAACCCTGACTAGTAGCTTTATATTCATCTTAATGCTGACAATTAAAGAAGTTTACTTGTCGGACACCATCATACCAGCCCCTTCTTTAACGACTCCTGCTTTGGTTGTCTCAGTACCCGGAGCTGCTGGTGGCTTCATATAACAACAACGAGGACGCTCCACATGAGCCCGATGGTGTAGCACTTGTCTGGAACATGAAGTACAAGAAGGCCACTCCTGAGTACATCTTCCACTGCCAGGTAATCACTGAAATACATCATGTCTACCTGCCTCCCACAGTCCTGCACAGTCCAAAAATAATTCCCAATGGAATAGAATATGATCGGAATATTTCTCCAAGCTAAATTTGGCAATATATTGTAAGGAAAGTGTTCTTATTTTTCATCTGTAAATCAGTCGTTTGCCCACTCTAAAATTCCTCCACCCCTTTGAAAAACCGTCCATCCATTAATTCTTTTAAAAATGGACAGAGGATCATGGGAAATCCAAGCTCGGAAAGCTATGGATTCTAAAAATATGTGCAGGAAACATGGTTACGGGAGAAAACATTTAGGGCTTCTTTTTCTTGTCTTCCTTGCAGTCGGAGGTGATGTCAGCTAGCTTTGCAAAGTTTCACCCAAACCTGGTGGTGGGTGGGACTTATTCGGGACAGATAGTCCTCTGGGACAATAGGAGCAACAAACGCACTCCTGTTCAGAGAACTCCCCTGTCTGCATCTGCTCACACAGTAAGGCACCGCAACACTCCCCTGTCTGCCTCTTTAAATCAGACTCACTCTGATTTAAAGCTCACATTGTCCGTCGCTCTGTTCAGCATCCAGTCTACTGTGTGAACGTTGTGGGAACTCAGAACGCTCACAACCTGATCAGCATTTCCACTGATGGCAAGATGTGCTCCTGGAGTCTCGACATGCTCTCCCAGCCGCAGGTACGCTTTGCTTGCCTCCATGGCTACAGACGTGTTTCCGGGTAAAGCAGGTGTTTTGTCTGAGGGTTTAAACCTGATATGTGTTTCGCCTGCAGGACAGTCTGGAGCTGGTGTTCAAACAGAGCAAGGCTGTGGCTGTAACATCTATGGCATTTCCTGTGGGGGATGTAAATAACTTTGTGGTAGGAAGCGAGGACGGCTCAGTCTACACCGCCTGCCGTCACGGCAGGTGAGGTCATCTGAAAGTTTTTTCTATGAGTGTGAAAGGCCTGATTTCATAGGTTCTGGCTGGAGATCTGCATACCTTTTGATATCGCTTTTTATTTGGTGTTTTACAGTAAGGCTGGGATCACAGAGGTGTTTGAAGGCCATCATGGTCCTGTGACTGGACTGAGCTGTCACAGCGCAGCAGGACCTGTGGATTTCTCTCACCTCTTCATCTCCTCCTCTTTTGACTGGACTGTCAAACTGTGGAGCACGAAGGTGAATCCTCCACTGGAACACTTAAACCACCTAAACCAACATTTCGTTTTAATTTCCTTGCTTAATTCTCATTATGGTTTTCTTGCTGCAGAGCACCCGTCCTTTGTACTCATTCGAGGACAGTTCTGACTACGTTTACGACTCCATGTGGTCGCCAGCACATCCTGCTCTATTTGCTTGTGTGGACCTATCTGGACGGCTGGACCTGTGGAACCTAAACAACGACACTGAAGTATGAAGACATAGTAATTTCTGCCAGACAGCTAATATGTCTTCAACTCACCTTAGTTTATCACAGGACAGTCATGCTTGGAATAAAGTGGAACCAATGCATTTAAGTTTCTCCTCCTCAGTAATTTATTGTGTGTGTTGTAGGTTCCAACAGCCAGTGTTTGTGTGGAAGGATCTCCAGCTCTCAACCGTGTGAGATGGTCTCATTCTGGGAAGGAGATTGCCACTGGAGACTCAGATGGACAGGTGCAGATTTACGACGTAGGGGAGGTAAGTTTTCGGCCCCTCTGGCTATAAACTCCATAAATAATGGTAATTAGACGTTTACAAACCATCATCATGTACACAAACATAATATTACAGGCTTATAATACTTTTAAGCTGTTCTTTCTTCAGGGTGAAACAAATCCGGGGTAATTACTATTGATATGGAAGGAGAGTAACTATATTCATTTTTAAATATATTCCAATAGGACATTACATTATTTAATTAGGCATTTTATAATTTTATGGTATATTTACTTTTATATTCAAATTAACCTAAATTGAATTATAACATACAACTCACCGTCTAGAATAAACCTTCTGTACATTTCATGATACATTTTGCTCCTTAATATCCTGTACTTCAAGAACCAATTATGGGGAAAAAAATTACGACCGACTCATTGTCCGTACTAGACCACTTCTCTATTTGAAAAATCTGTCTGGTCATCATTTATCGATGTTCCTTTGGCTACCATGTGCCATAATGCATTAACAGCATCTGGGAGTTTGGAAATGTCTTCAAAATATTGTTTTTCTGAAACTTTTAGATTGTTCTGTTTAGTTCCAAGTGACTAATGATGTTGGTGTTTGTAGCCTCTCTTTTATTATTTGTGTGTGTAAATCAGTTTCCCGTGTATCTATGCATTTTTGCTAGGCTATATAATTTAGAACCTTTGTGGTTCAAAGGGAAATTTGCCTCCCTTTCATATTCTAAGTCTTTCATATTTATTAGTTATTTGTTCTAACAGCACCTCAGAAAGGCAAAAAAATTAAAGCCCAAAATTATTTTTTTTCCTTCATTTTATTGGTTGTTGTTATTGATGTGACTCAGTTTTCTCCCTAGAAAAAAGCTGTCATTGCTAAACTTTCACTATCATGTTTTGATGCGTTCCTTGGTATCTCCCAACAGCAAATCTGCGTTCCCAAAGCAGATGAGTGGACACGGTTCGTCAGGACGCTGGCAGAAATCAATGAGAACAGAGACGAAGCTGAGGAACTGGCTAACGTCTGATCCTGTAACTCCCTTATTAGCCTTTAATAAATCCCTTTTTAGTACACTACACATCTATAGCACATTAGGTGACACGGCCAAGGGAGTTAGGCAGCGTTCACACCGCAGGCCTTAATGCTCAATTCCGATAATTTTGTGAAATCCGATTCTTTAGTGTGGTTGTTAACATTTCTAAATATATGCAACTTGTATGTGATCTCCTGTGTGAAATTAATTCACACAACTTAACTTTCGTGTTCCACACATGCAGTAGAAGACACAATGACGTCATTAGTAGTGTGTTCTGTACGGAAGTAAACATGAATGGTAGTTCTGCAGAGCATCTTGCAATTGTTAATTTATTTCCCAACCTCAGTCAGTGCATTAACATTACAATATGTTCATTAGGATTGAAAATAAAGACTACTAAAGAGTCATGAAAAGATCAGATACAGGTTGCATATGTGCAAAAAAATTGAATTTGGAGCACTTTAGGCTGCTGTGTGAACGTAGCCTTACACTCTCTTCTCTGATTTCCAGCTTTTCCTTCCACTAGAACGTGGGCCTGAGGAGCTACAATGGACAGGTTTTCTTATGGAGAGAAACAAAGGGTTAAGAGTTTGTACGAATCAGTTGTAGTTAAAAGATGAATCCTAATTCAAACTTGTAGATTCGACTACACCCTCAGGACTCCGAAAACTGCTTTCCTCCTTAGGCCTCAACCAATATTTTTTTACATATGCAAAAACCTTTGTACTTGCACCTTTTTCTTACCATTTGGGTGTTCTGCATAATATTTTACAAACAAGCTTATGTTTACCCTGAGTTTGGGACACTCTTCTAACAGAAATACGAAGCGTTGAGTCGTAAATCTTCAACAGGACAAGCTGTGGGAATGAGTAGAAGAGTGTCACTAACATTCTTATCGCAACTATATTTAATATTTATTACTCTCGCTGCACTTATTTAAATGTGTTAATTGCTCTTTAAAAAATTTTGTACAATTTGGCAGTTAGTTTATTCCTGCATTAATGACTGATAAGTTACTCTGTACTAAAAAGCAGGAAATGTTTGTTGACTAAATTCTCTTGAAGAGAATGTAAAATATTTAGTAAATGAAGATGTATCAGTGTGGTTGTAAAGGCTTTTTTTTCCTGATAAAGGTGCACCAAGAAATTTTGTCTGATTTTTAATTTGATCAGCTGGTTGGGAAGCAGAAAAATAATAGCTTGGTACTGGACACACCTTAAGTGCTTCCATGTTTACCGCAACAGTCTTTGGTGTGGATACTGTTGAAGAGTGAAGAGTTAAGGGTAGTAGAAATGTGGCGTTTAAAAATAAAAAGATAACAGGAAGGGTTTTGGAGATGACATAATATGCTTTGGATAATTTGGTACTTTCAACATGAACAGAAATCTAATTTTACTAAAACGATCCTCACATGTGACTTTACTGTTGCTTCCAATATAATTATCTGGTTGTATAAAGAATCGGTATCAACAGGGTCAAAGAGGTTATAAAAGGCTCAGATTGGAAATTAGTAACAAAAAAATCAGTTTGGTGCACCTTATCATTCATCCTATGAAGTAACATTCACCCTTGAACTAAAGCTGATGAAGTAACCATGCTTTATGTATGACAAATAAAGGGGTTTTCACAGTAATTGTATTGTCATTTTCCTGAAACAACAAACGCTTTCCCCTTTTCATTGAAATAAAAAACTGAACAATACTGATAAAGATAAAACCATATGGATGATTTATTTATTTAAAATACAATGACTGAATTGAGATACATTTAATTTATTAATATCTAATTCTCCGCTCATGACTCTTGTTTAAACAAGAAAACAAAGGAAAAGCTCTGTACATCAGTAAGAGTGATTCTCAGAGACCGGGACCAAAGGCCCCACATTGCCCCAACATTACAGCTATTCAAGTGTAATGACACAGGTGGATCTTGTAACTTTTCCTCAGTACAGTTATACAATATATACAGTATGTGGCCTCCTGTGCGAGTTACTGTGGGTAAAGCCTCACACTGCGCAGGTCAATCAGTTATATCCTATGCCCACTGCCCGAAAAGAGAAGTCTTACTCATACCGAGTATCAGACAAAAAAAACAGAATGAATCATCTACTCATGAGAGAGAGGAGTGCCCAAGGTTCGGTTTCACACAAATGTTTGAGAGAAGAACACAAAAAGATGGAGTTCCCAGGAGCACACAGCCACTGCAGATGCAACACAGTCAGCTCTCCTCTCCTGACGCTGTATGACTGCAGGCTGGCCTACAGCCACAGCCTGTACCTCCGCCTGTAGCTGGTTGGTGACCACTGGAGCGCACCTTCGCCCTGGAGAGAGCGGCAGGCTGGTGGTGTTCAATCCTACATCATGGTCCCTAATGTGTGGAGTTGTGTGTGCTTTGTTTGTGTTGATCTAAGTGTCTGGCTCCTGGTAGTAGAGAAGCAATATGAAGTTGGAGATGATTATGGTGCCTTAGCAGGACCGGCAGCAGCTGCCTCTGAAAGATGGATGGAAGCAACACCAGATGACTTGAACTTAGGGAGGTGAAGACCGAATTTGTTTTCCACTCCGGCAAATGTAGCTGCAGCCAGGCGGTAGCCGCCGACATGCTCTGCATGGATGGGAGGAAGCTCTGAAATGCGTGACTTGGGAGTCGGTTCAGATCCTGCTGGACGACTGCAGAAAGCAAAGGAGATAAGACGTCACTTAATGAACAGACATTGATGTATTTTGATCTATAAATCTACAATAATGCAAAACCTAAAGCATTGTTTGTAAGAATTACAAATGTCAGCTCTAGTTTAAATATATATTTGGATATCAAACAACCAGAGCATCACTTCTCAGCTTGCAAGGGTTCCTAGATATTTTAGATGAATTTCAACCCAATTTAAGACCACGTTTACAGATTACAATTCAAATAGGATGATGGGAGCTTCAAAGGTTAATACAGACGTTATGGGGATTTATCTCAATAGATGATACAAAGGGATTAGAAATCCACTCGTTATTTTGGGGGGAGGCGGCTGATATAATGCGGTGCTGCTCCGATCTGTTGTGGAAAAACAGAGCTGAGCCAAAAAGCAAAGCTCTTGCTTTACTGGTCGGTCTAATTTCCTACCCTCACCTATGGTCTCGAAATCTGGATCATGACCTACAGAACAAGATCCCAGATCCTTCCTTAGAGACAGGGTGAGGAGCTCAGTCAGAGACTCAGAGTAGAGCCGCTTCTCCTATTTTAAAGATACACTCAGTCCAGGCACGCCCCACCATGACGACGACCCAGGACACATTTTAAAATTGGAATAGTTTTGCTTCTGAATATACTTATTAGTAATAAAATTAATATTTTAATTAAAATTTTCCTTGTTTAGAAAAATCTGAAAAAAAAAACTATATTTTTTGTTTTATTTTGGAAACAAAAACCACAACTTACTGTCCACCAAAATCGATGTAGAACCATCGCTGCAACAGTTCGTAAGTCACCAAAGTCACACCGAACTGAGGGGAGGACCGACACATACGAGCTAAAGGAGGAAAAACACAAACAAATTGATGAATATTGGTGTTTAATAGAAAAGAAATCTAAGCAGGTGTCCAGACAGAAACGCACCCCCAGCTCCTTTCCACAAAGCGCTGAACCCTTCCTCCCTCATGATCTTTCTGAAGCAATCAACAACTCCCGTGTAGGTGGTCTGTCCTGCTCGTGCTGCAACTTGCAGACGCGTCTTGATAACATCAGCAGGGGTAACCAGGGACGCAGCAGGGATGCCTGGGAAACAATAAGAAAGACAAAGCGTGGTTTTATATGGTCCTTTTAAAAAAAAGAAATAAATATAAAGAAGGTAACCTGGTTTACGGGATTAAAGCCCAGCATGTTGGGCATTCTGACATTGATGTTCCTCTAGCACAGAGGTCACGGATTAGCGGACCCACCTGCTGGCTAATCCGGACCCAACCTGATTTAAAACATTTACACTTTTCCGCATGCTGTCCGACGATACATCCTCCGTCACCGCTGCGCCCCGCAGCGCTCCAGACCTCCTGCGCAAAGCAGAGCCTACAGCCTCCGCTGTTCCTCCCGTATTAATCATTAAAACTTATCCTCAGAGCTCGAGGACAGCATGCGCGATATTATTAAATTCGTAGGAGCAAAACATGCAGAAATGAACACTTCATTTAATATGACATGTAAAAAAAAATCCCCATCAGCATCCAGCATATGTGGGGTTTCTGATCTAGTTGAGAAATCTGCTACCTGGTCTGTTAAAGTACCAATAGTTTGCATCCAATCTTTTAAATAAACGGTGTTAGTTTTTTGAGATATAAAAAAATTATGATCTAATTTGTAATAACCAATCTGTTGTTACTATATTTTAATTTGAAAGAAACAGATCTTCGCGCCATTCTTTTTCCTGTTTGGTGGGATTGCAATAGTGGATCTTGACCTTGATGAACAGAATCAAAAATAAAAATGGATCCAGGCTCAAAATGAGCACCTTGATGTGCAATTGAGAACGGCTTGGTCTAGATTCAAACCCAGGTCTAAAGCCTTGTAGGGCAGCATAAAGCCCACTGCTCTCATCACGGTCAGTTCAGGTGCTTAACAAAACATGTGAATCAGAAAATTGTCTATATACCAAATTGAAAGATTGTTGTTCTCTACTTCAAAAAACACTTAAGATTTTAAAATGTAAAAATGTTCTTTTTATTTTTTTAATTTAAAAATTCAATGTATAACATGAAAGCATAAACACCTAATTTTATTTCAGTGTTAAATTCTGCTTAAAGTAACAGATCATTAAAAATGTCTCCGGACCTTTACTGGTTGATGATTTTCTTTATTCGGACCCCACTAACTTTTATTTATGTTACTCCTGCTCTTGCAGAATACACAAGTTTGCTTTAGTTTTTGAAATGATATAAAGAAAATTAACAAACTTAAAAAACTTAATCATTAAGCTAATTTCAGATTAGTGATTAATTCGCCTTTTTTTTTAACAAAAGCCAAACTGGTAATTAATGATGTTGAAACATGGGTACGTCACCATCTATTTTCATACCCTGCAATCTTTGCTTTAACGTAAAAATGTATCCAACAATGCTATATTTCCACAGTAGATATAAATGTTGTAATGACTGAGTGGACTGTGCTTTTACCTGCAATTGCTCCAGCAGTAAGAAGCTGTAAAGGTCCTAGTCTGCCTTGTTCATCAGCGAATTGAGTCTTGAGGTGAGCGTAAGCAGGAAAGTAGATGGCGGAGAAGGGAATGTCCCTTAGGAAGCAAGCTTTAGCACCCTGAAGACACATAATAACAATGAATCTGACAGCAAAGATGTGTGGCAAAAAGGGAGTGCGCATAAAATGCCTGTGGAGAGATTATTAAAAGATCAAACCTCTCACATGGTGTTAAACAAATTACCTTATAAAGGCCGAAGAAGCCAAGGTCACGGACCACACTCAAAGCACTGACTCGAGGCCCCGTGGTGATCTCGCCTGCTACCTGCAAGCGAATCTTCACGATCTCCAGAGGGTTGGTAAAGATTACCTGAGAGCCTCCAGCCTGAATCAATAGAGAGACCAGAGAAAATTACTGCATTTCTTCAGCTAAAACAACAAAGACAAGCTGGGAAGAAGTTCTCTATCATAGGCTTCATTGAGTTCAGAGGTGAATAATAAATTTAGATCAATAAATTACTTTGCCGTTTCCTCGGACAGCAAGGTGTGCTGCGCCAATGAGTGTAAGGCTGAACAACGCTATCAAAAAACAAAAGAAACAACTAATACACACTCTTGAACATTAGACATATTGCTGCAGGGGCAATTTCATTGCATTTACTTATCGTAATGTTTTTCCAAGTCATTCATGCAAGTTAATGAAACGTATGATGACAATGCAACATTTTACGTGAATAAAAATGGAAAACATCATTTTTTGAGACCATGTTTAAACTTAATCATTAAACATTCTGTTATGCAAGCAGAGAAGGAGGTAAATAACACCTATTGGGACTCGGTACTTACACAACCACCAGCCAGAATTTCAGCAAATAAAGGAATGGAGTCGTCCTTTTCAGTGAACTTGTCTCTTACGAAGTCATTCACCTGTGAAAAAAACATTACGAGCAGTCTTACGGTTAAACTTCAATCGCTTTTCTAATGTATAACAACACCAACAAGCAAAAAACCTAAGAGGAAGGAAAATGATTCCTGGAAATA